ACCGAGCCCGAGCCTGACCGAGCCCGAGCCCAACCGAGCCCGAGCCTGACCGAGCCCGAGCCTGACCGAGCCCGAGCTACTCGGGCTCGGTACATGCCTATTTAGTTGCATTAAGAAAATTGAAATATTCTGTTTAAGTAAAATATTAATTTGAATTTAATCGAATAATATAAGAGTTTTATCGAGTAAAATAAAATGTAATTATTTAGAGAGATTTTAACTTGATAATATACGTTGGAAAGATATTTATGATAATTAATAAAGATAATTTGATTTAAATTAATTTCTATTTTGTTTTTATCTATTTATTTTGTTTGATGAAAATTAATCAACAATTCGAAAAATCATTAAAAACTGATCCACTAAGCGCCTATGAGAAATCTTCAAACGTTCGAACTACAATCCATTAAATATTGCTTTAAATTTTACAGACAGAGTTTTTATCATCAATCGATCAACTCTCGAAAAACAACTGATAAAATAGATAAGTCAATATCGATGAATATTATCAATTGTTTTTTTATTATTAAAATTATTAACGAACTGTTATATATCTATTATTAATTCATATTTATATTGAAAATTCATAAAATTACGAATTCTTTTCGGAAATTATTCGAAACTTCAATTGATAATTTTCACAGAAAATCAATTGATTTTCATTTTAATTAAAAAGAAAATAATGATTTTTATTTTTACTCGCTTGAACTTTGACTAAATGGTCAATCCCTTTTATATAATATATATTACTATACGTACAGGTCAAATTGATATCAATATAAAATCCATTCATAAAGATAAAATATTAGTGTCAGTATATACGTATATGTATTGATGCACATACCATTGTCGATATCAGTAAGGATTCGACTGTGTATGTCTATGTGCTTCTTTTCTTCATTAATTTAACCTATCAAACCAATATACTTCACACACACACACACACAAACAAACTCACTCATATGAGCACATCAATAATCGATATCGGGATTATTTGTACCTGAACTCACAATTGACAACTGACATCTATATAACGTCATGGTATCTACATTCACACTCCAGATAGATATATACCTCATTATCATATCTATATACACACTTACACCCGTCATAGGCTGAATTACCAGTCTGAAAAAAACAAAATAAACAAATGGATTGAGAGGTATATTAAAAAAAAAACATTTTATTGACAGAATTTGACTGTTAAAAAAATTCGATTTGATAGAAACTGAATAGGTGAAACATCTGATTGAATGAATGTGCAGTAGAAAATTGTCAATTTGAGTATTAATTGTGAACACTTCCACGAATATATGTTGATACATGACCATTCACGTGTATTCAACACACATGTAGAAAAAACTAATTTTATTTTGTATGAGTCTATCTTTAGTCAAATAGATAAATATTTACGTTGTTATATTAAATATTAATAACGAAGAATAAAATAAGAAATCTTTTATCTTTAAGTTAATTGAAAAATTTAATATTAAATTTGAAAAACTAATTAAATATCTCTCATAACTCAATTATTTACAAAAAATAAAAATAAAAATTATTTTTATTAAATATTTGACAATATGTTAATTTGTCTATTGATTAGAATAATTATACTATTTTAATTACTAACTTTAATATTATTGTTTAATCCATATGTTACTTGAGAATGTTTATCATTCTAAATAGTTTGACAATTATTAAGACTTCCTTTATGACATATAGGAAATAATACACTAGTTCATTTTCTATTTCAGTTGATGTTATTGTTGTTATTCTTCCTACAATTCTCTCGAAACAAACAGACACTTCTTGACGATGTTTAACTGATTTTTGATCACATGAGTTTATAAAAGCATTCTTAAAATGAATAATATAGTTTGACCTCTATGTTTTTGAATAAATATTTTAGATTTTAAATTAATAATCATATGTCATCTGTAAATATTCATCGATGAAATAATTTATTTGATTATTAATTTAAAAATAAAAGAAAAAAAAAATCATTTAAACAAGTGGATAACTTGCTACAATAACTATTCCATATTGATTGTTTTTATTTCTACTCATCCAAATATAACCTTGATTTCCCCAATTGATTCCCCAAGAATTTTTAACAATATTATAATCTAATGAATTAATAATACCATATCCAACAGATAAAACTCCATGATCAAGTAAATGTGTTGAACAATGAGGTTCATCATAAATTCCCGATGAATAAAATTGAAATGAACTTTTCGAAGCATCAATAGCTACTGATATTGGACCAACAGTAGCAATAGCAGATTGAAGATCTGTTTCATTTCCCATTTTAATTTCAACAAAACCCTATATTAAAACAATAAAATAATTATATTTACTTTTTTTAAATATTTAAATCGAATTATTAATTACAGTATCAGTAGCACCAATATTTTTTGGATAAAAACGACATTTTTGACGTTCAGCTTGATAAGGATATGACCATTCTGTATCTATTCCACCATTAGATTTAATATACATAAAAGCAAGATCCATAATTCCCCCATGACATCATAAATTAAGTGAACAATCAACTAAATTTTGTTCGGAAAGTGAAACAAGTTGAGATGTTTTAGCAAAATGTTATCCTTCAAGTGATCCTGTTGTTGAAAAAGTCCAACATGAGCCACATTGACCTTGATCTTTAATAGGTATTACATAACCTTTAGTACGCCAATCTATTTAATTATATTTTAAAAATCGATTGAATTATTTAATTTAAAGATTTTTCTTTCTTTCTTTTTTTAAATTCATTTTAAAACCATTCATTTGTTTTTCGAAATTCTTCATTTGTCTTTAAATATAAATGAAAAAATATTAAATTAAAAAAAAAAAAGTATTGTTTTTATTTAAATGTTAATACCATATCACCAAATTTATTCATTTAAAGTCTATATTTATGAAGATCTAAATTAGATTCAAGATTATGTTTATCAATCATTCGAATATTTTCTTTCCAAATTTGACGACTATTTACATTTATATTAGAAAAAGAAAAAAGATTTAAACATACCGATATGTTTCTTCTTGATTTGTTAAATACTTTTTTTCGAAAATACGTTTAAATAAAATCTATGAATCATCTAATTGACTATCGAATATTGAAAAAGAAAAATATCCATTGAAGAAAAAAATACATAAAATAATATTTAATATCATTATCGAAGATTTTCTTCCGACAAATGATAAATATAAATTGTTATTGGAAAGTCTAATTATAACTAAAGACAAATTTTTTTTTTTGCTTTTATTATTATATTCGAGATAAAAACAACGATGTCATATTATTAAATAATGATAACTATTATTTTCTCGAATATTATCTTATCAAATGAAAACATTAAACATTAAACATTAAACAAGAAACAAGAATAAAAAATGAAAAACGAACAATAGAATATGTTCGAATATCAAAAATGAATTGAAAATATTTAAAGAATTATTTTCTTATCAAACTTTATCTTTTTAAACAAAATTAAACAGATTTATATTTGTTTTGTTTTGTTTAGATTTAGAGTAGTTTGATTAATTATGAAATTTTCCTTAACAATAAATCCACTAATAGTCGATAAGATTTTCCAGGAATTTTCTGTGTAACAAGATCGAAAAGACAAGATCGAAAAGGATTGTGTGAAGTGTCAAATATGTTATATAGATTAACGAAAAGTGAAAGATTTCAAATAAATTATTTTGTTAAATTAAGAATATTTCTGAACATGTCGATTTCATATCATATGACACAAACACGAAATTCATCATTTATTTTTAATAAAAATATTTAGTTTTCTTTTTTTTAGTAGATAACTCCAGTTTTAGTCTATCGTACAAAAACAATTTGTTCATCAATAAAAATTTAACATTATCGTTAATCATAATTAAATAAATGAACTCATCTGAATAAAATAAGATAAAAATATAGAATTTATTTGTTAATCGATGATTTTTGAAACAGCATAGGAAGAAGGATATTTATTATATATATAATGATAAATAAAAGATATTTTTTTCAAATGATAATATTACTTTTTTAATAGATAGTCTATATTGAGTAAATACATTATAAAAGAAAATATTTATTTTTATTTAATTTAAATCTGTTTAGAATAAAATATTATCAAATTATTGATCAGTTTAATTTCTTTTCTAATATTTAAATTTGAAAAATAAACACCTATCCTACAATGATAAACAACAATTTATTCTATATGTTTATAATTGNTTATTCAATTTTATTTTTATTTTATTTTATTTAATTATAAAATAAATTAAATTACATTTGTTGGACATCCATATAAATTTCCACTAACTCCAACGAATAACGACAAGAAAAACAACAACTTATACATCAACTATTTATACAAAAAAATATCGATTAATGAGAAAAATATTCTATTTAATTAGTTGATTTTCATTCGAAATAATTATACATACATAATATAGATTCAAATAAATTATTAATATAATACATTAAAAATATTTCCTGATATTTAGATTATTCGATATAAATATATTGAATTATTACACCGACACCCTCAACTCAATCTTATCGTCACTTTCATAAAAATACTTCAAAAACTGACTTTTCAATTTTGACTTTTCAATTTTTATATACCAATGTGATCAAAATGTTGACCATGAAATTAATTTAGTGCTTTTTCTTTTTTTTTCTTTTCATCAAAAATAAAAGACATTTAGGAATCCAATTCTAGAATATAAATGGAATTTTCATGTAAATAAAAGCACAGCAAGATCGTATGAAATAATCAATATAGATATTGAGTAATATTTTATTTATTTATATATTCTCATTTGAATTTGATAAAGTAAGAATGATAGAATAGTTTGTTTAATTAAAACAAAACAAAAAGAACATATTTAATAGATATTAATTTTAGAATAAGATTAATTTTCTAATATAAAATGAAATATGTTATACATAGGTAAGCGTCCTCTATCCCTGCTTAACAATTAATGGTTAAAATAAATAAAATAAGTTGGTTGTCTAGTTCGTCTAATCATTCCTATTTGATTGATTATATCAGTTTGAAATAAAAATACTCAATAATCATATTTTATTGATGAAAAATGATTCAATTCAAATTTTTATTTATTAATTTATCTTAAATATAATTGAAAATTTTTTAGGAAAAATAATATCAAACAATTTTTATAATATTTTTCATTTCTCAATAATTTTTTACAAAAGAGAAAAAGTTAATTTAATAAAATGCTTTATAATATGTTTATGATAATATTTCATAAGATAATGAAAGATAATTTCATATGTTTGTATCATATGACAACATGTTTTATCTTATATTTATCTATTAAAATAGTCTGTTCGAGACTTTGGATTCTTCATTGTCTTGTTTTTTGTTTTATTTATTTGTAGTTAATATATTTCAATGTGGTTGTTGTTTTTCTTGTCGTTATTCGTTGGAGTTAGTGGAAATTTATATGGATGTCCAACAAATGTAATTTAATTTATTTTATAATTAAATAAAATAAAATAAAAATAAAATTGAATAAATATTTAAAAGGTAACTTGTTTATCGGAAGAAACATGTTGTCAAACAAGTACTGGTTTATGGGCATGTTGTCCAATTCAAGATGGTCTTTGTTGTGATGATGGTCTTCATTGTTGTTCAAAAGGTCAAACATGTTTATCTGATGGACAATGTTCTTCATCTTCAAATCATATTTATGTTTGTTTTTTGTATTTTATTTTATTTTATTTTATTTTATTTTATTTTATTTGTTTAGCCTGGTTTACCATTAAAAATTCGATTAAATCAAATAAATTCAGTTCCATGTCCAGGTTAATTTTCATTAAATAAATAAATGAAAATAAAAAAGAGAACTTATTCTAGATGGAAGTTCTTGTCCTGATGGTAATACTTGTTGTCAATTATCATCCGGTCAATATGGTTGTTGTCCACTTGGTATCGTTTATTGTTGTTTATTTTTTGTCTAATATTTAAAATAAAATTGATTTCTTTTTTTAGCTGATGCTGTTTGTTGTAGTAAGTTATTTATTTAAATAGATAAAAAGAAAAAAATGAAAAAAACTAATTAAAATCTAAAAAAAGGTGATCATCTTCATTGTTGTCCTCATGGATATACTTGTGATGTTGAACATTCCCGATGTAAAAAGAAACTTAATGATGTAAATGATGTTCCATGCTTTGACGGTTCGTTTTATTTTAATAATTGTCTTTTTTTATTTCAATTATTTATTTTATAAATTTAGGTTCTGCATGTCCTGATGGTTTGATATTGTTTTTTTCTTTGTTTTGAAATTAAAAAAAAATTTGATGAAACATTTAGGTAACACATGTTGTCAATTACAATCAGGAGAATATGGTTGTTGTCCATTAGGTAAACAAATATTATTTTTATTTATTTAAATAAAATATTGTTTTTGTTTTGTTTTTTTTCTTTTAATATTAAATAAAAGCTGATGCTGTGTGTTGTAGTAAGTTATCAATAGAAAAAAAAAAAAAAAAAAAAAAAGTCATAATAATTTAAATGTAATAAAAGGTGATCATCTTCATTGTTGTCCACATGGATATAGTTGTGATGTTGAAAAAGGTCAATGTAATCCTGGTATATATATTCCATGGTTTACTAAAATACCATCTTTACATCGAAAACAACGTTTGTTTTATTTTGAATTAGAATTTATTTAACAACACCTATTTTATTTTATTTTTAGACTTGACAAATATAATTATTGATAAACAAATAAATATATATGAATTAAAACCATCGTCAAATTCCAATGCACAAATCATTTGTCCAGATGCTACAAGTAACTATAAAAATAAATAAATAAATAATAAGAATAAATTTAAATAAAAAAAAAACCAGGTTTATGTCCATCAACATCAACTTGTTGTTTAACACCTGAATCAACATGGGGTTGTTGTCCAGTAGAAAAAGCCGTATGTTTATATAAAAATAAAAATAAAAATAAAAATAAAAATAAAATATATTTTTGAATATTTTAAAAATATGAAATTAAGGTTTGTTGTTCTGATCATTTACATTGTTGTCCTGAACATTATAAATGTGATTTACATATATTTAAATGTGATCATGATTTATTTGGATCAATTCCAATGTTAAAAAAAGAACCATCTTTATATGTTATTTCATCAAATATAATTCTTTCAAACGTTCAATCAACACTTTCAACAATTCAATGTCCTGGTTTGTCTTTTTATTTATTTATTTATTTATTTGTTTATTTATTTATATAATTAAAGATGGTTTATCTTATTGTCCTGAAGAAACAACTTGTTGTGAATTGAAAGATGGTTTATTTTATTTTTATATATTTGTTTTAATTAAAAAAAAAAAGAATTATTTATTTTTTAGGTTCTTATGGATGTTGTCCATATCCTCAAGCAATTTGTTGTCCGGATAAAGTTTGTAGAGTTTAAGATAAAAAAATAAATGAAAGTGTTTTTTTTTTTTTTTTTTTTAATTAATTAATTTTAGATTCATTGTTGTGGAAATGGATATTCATGTGATGATAGTGGTAAAAGATGTATTCGTCATTTAAACTCATTAAATAAAACTGATATAAGAGAATCTGCTGAAAAATTTTTATCATTAAAAATGAAAATAAATGTTGAATCATTTCATAAATTATCTCCATTAAAAGATCAAACATGTCCTGATGGTAAAACAATATGTTCATCAAGTTCAACATGTTGTCAAAATAAACAAAATAATCAAGTTACTTATTCATGTTGTCCTTATTCAAAAGTAAGTTTTTTTATTTAAATTAATCAAAAATAAATATTAAAATTTATATTTTTTCAACAAAAACAAAAGGGTGTTTGTTGTGGTTCAAATGGATCAGTTTGTTGTCCAAATGGTTATACTTGTAATGAAGAACAACTTTCTTGTCAATTAAGTGATTCAAAATTCTTACGAGAAGCTCGAATGGATATTGATAATAATCAATGTGGAACATCAAATGTTGCTTGTTCACTTGATCAACAATGTTGTAGAACTTATGGATCATCTGATGTCGAATTTGCTTGTTGTGCTTTTTCTGATGTATGTTTACTTTTATTTATTAAATTTAATTTTTAATATAATTAATTAATAATAATAGGGTCAATGTTGTGAGGATGGTCAACATTGTTGTCCAAGAGGTACAAAATGTGATGTTCAATCTGGTGGATGTATTCAAAATTATTAAATTTTAAACAAGATTCGTTTCTCTTTTTAAATCTATTTTCGATATGATAAGATTTTCATGATTTTCAAATAAAGTCTTTCAATTAAGATTTTTAACACGAATATAATCAATCGATAATTTGACAAATTTTCACATTAGTTTTAGTTTTTTAGCATCAATATAAAAGTGTTTACAGGTACTTCAATAAAGTATCAGAAAATCTGAATGTTTTTTGTCATATTTCTTCATTTGCAAAACAGAGACAAGATATAAAATTTTTCTTTTTCTTTCATCAATAGATAATTCATAATTCGAATTAGATTCTCGAGAAAAATCAACAAATTTCATTATCATCTCGAAGAACGGAAACCCTTATGATAAATATGTCCGATTTTAAAATATGTTAGATGTTTCCTTTTCTTACATCATAATTATATTATTTTCACATCTCTAGAATGAGCAAAATAAAAAGCTCTATCTTATGATACATCATATTTCAATGAAGAAAGATAATTTTAATAATATAAACTCTATCAAAACAAATCAAATTCTTGAACATAATTATTATTACAATGAGAAGAAAAAATCACAATGAATTTTTTTTATCAAAATTAATCTCAAAATATACAGCTAGAAAGTTTGTTCAAAATTTATACAAAATAAAAGTGTTTTGAAAGATTTTTTTACTTGTAAAATTTAAAATGAGGAAAGGATTTATGTTGTATTTGAATGAGTAGCTCTCTAATTCGAGTTCGAATATAAATTGAAATTTCGAACGCATCCACATTCCTGAAACTTCCAAAAGAAAAAGAAAAAGTTTTCCTGATTTATAATTTATCATTCATATAAATGGCTCATCTCTGTAAGTTTAGGAAACAAAAACGTTTTCCTTTTGCCTACGTAACCGACAGCACGAGAGAGTCTTCTCAAAGAATGCATATTGCGATCCGACATGAAACGACTAACGAGGGAACATCACCAGGTGTCAAATCGTTTAATGGACCGAGTATGTACGCAAACTATAGATCTCAGTAAGTTATTAAATTCCCTAGAATGGTTTGGTTTTCCAGCGTTCTGTTGTCGAGTTATGGATCTTTTACTCGATTTTGGCCTATGGGCATAGGATTCTTCTGAGAACCTGAATAATCGAATTTCGAACTGAGATTTTCTCCATATAAAGGGTAGCCGCGAAAAACTGTCTCGATTTGAATAATACGTTTTTCTTTAACAAAATACGCGATTCAAAATTTTTCTTTTCAACCAAAAGATCCAATAAAAGACTCTCTACAGAATGATTTTTGATTGACCCCGCTAGCCCATATAATAAGAAAGTTACAGGCTTGGCAGTGTGCTTCACGAAAAAGAAAAATCAACGGTGAATTGAATCTTGATATTTTTGCTTGCACTCCTGTACTTTAGATCCCTTAGAGCGAATTTTTTTTTAAATAGACGCGTCTTGAAATTCTCTACAAAATCACACCTAAACTTTTATTTCAGAACTCCAATCAAGAAAACTAAGTAAATTATAAACGAGGCGCAAAAAGATGAAAACTTTGTAAATCTCGGAATTTTTTGCGACTTAAACTTTTTCTTCTTCTATTATTTTCATGAAAAGCTTAGAAAAAGTGATAACTCAGTTTGTGTTTGATACTTTTGAATGCATTCTTTCTCGTTTTCTCTAAAAAAAGATTTTTTTAGAGCGGATGATGTGCCCGAAAATGAAGTTTCAAAAGCTGAAAACCTCCATTTCCAACAATGTGCCCAAGTAAGAAACAGAAAACGTGATCGAAGTTTGATTTTTCAGTTAGACAGAGAAAAGCAATCATTTCAGATTAAAACAGAACGAACTTCATCGAAGAGTCTTTTGTTTTGATGTGGTTGCGAAACTTTCAATGAAAGCTTCAACATACGAAGAATATTTTGACATGATAAATTACGATATCATGTTAGTGTTCAAGTAAATCAACCGAATAAATACTTAGTCTCTACTTGGTGAATTCTTTGATGGAAGTTTGAAGTGAACTATCGATCCGTTCATATCTAGTTATTTATCGACGTACTGAATCTATTGTTAACGAGGATTTATCTTCATTAAGTAAAGATATTCTTGATCTCAGTTAGTTAACAGTTTTATATTAGTCTATTTCAATACTTGTTACAAATAATAAAATAAAATATAACGATTCGCATTGTCTTTCTTAATGGTGAATAGATCATTCGGAAGTTGTCACATAGTCTAAAAGTGATGCATATTACTCGGCCTCTTTTTACTATATTTTTGTAGCAATTCGTACTGCTGAATTAAACGACAAAGATGGTTGTTTCGTTGACTTGTATTAACGAATACAGCTCGATAATCTTAATCTGGTAAATCACATAGGCTATAATTATTATATACATAAGTTTATGACCTTTCAAAATGTATACGTCGATTTGCCTTTTGTCAATTATCATCGACTGCAAAAATGAGATCTAAAAACTTCATTGAAATAAATATCTTAACAAGCTATAAGTCAAAGTTTTGACACAGAGGGAATCAATTCAAGAAATTGCTGATAAAGATAGTGAAGATAAAAAGGAGGATCCAGTTAGTAAAATTATTCGAAATTGCTTAGGTGCGCTCAATGATGCGCCATTGATTAATAATAGAGCTAATTTCCTCTTTCGTTAAAATTTTATTTTATTCAGCATTCTTTTATTTGTATTTATAGATATCGGCATGGCCGCGCATCGGCCACCCATGTATGAGGAAGGTTCGAATTCAAAGTTCAAGAAAACTAAATCTACTAACTGACAGAGCACTAACGATAGTATATTGAACAGAAGCCACTACCTATCCTATGTTTAAGTCTGACGCGATGTTAACCTCCTGGGGACCGCTGTCTTCAGACTGAAGACAAGCAGGACTGGCGAAATCAACAAAGTTTGACAAATGAAAATGATTGGTTGGAACTTTTACAGAAAATCAAACAAATTTTTCTGNAGAGTATATTGGCGAAAGTACAGTGGACTCTCGCCAATTGGCGAAAGTACAGTGAACTCTCGCCAATTGGCGAAAGTCACCAGGGCATATTGGTGAAAGTACAGTGGACTCTCGCCAATTGGCGAAAGTCACCAGGGTATATTGGCGAAAGTACACTGGACTTTCGCCATTGGCGAATGTCCTGTTGGCGAAAGTCTTATTGGCGAAATTCGGGAATCCCGGGTTAGTTTCTCTTTTTATATTCAATATCGGCACTCACTGAACACTCACACCAATACCCACACCCCACCCCACAAATTTCTACCTTCGATACGTCAACACGCCTTTCATATCGTGTTTCACAAAAGCAAAAGTTTACTTTAGTATTACAAGTCATTTTTCATGGTTTATCCTTTGCTTTCTGCCAAAATATTCCAAAGGTTTTACTTGATCTGAATACTTGTTCGATGACTGATCTGGAAAAATAATAAGAAAAACGCTGATGTTGAAATTTCAATTAGATTTTGTGAGCGATCATCCATTTATTTTCGTTTAGGATGGAAATTAGGAGACGACAAGATATTGATTGTCATGGTCAAAGAGGATATGAGAGGAGTGGAGTGTCAACCGATGAAATATTATAATTTGACCTGCTCATATGCTACTTGACGTCAACACTTTATTTCAACTGTATGGTTCCATGGCGTTTTGGAATTGTTCTATCATCAAAGTACTTCGATCGAGTTACATGCACTCTGAGTCTCAGATGAATCAGCCAGAATTTTGAAGTGACTTGAGTGTCACTCTTAAAGGTGAAACTTCGAAAACAAATGCAATAAGCCGAATTATTGAAGCTAGTGTATAGTCGTATAAGTGATTCGATTGTTATGAAGCCATTGAAATACGAAAAGTAGTGTACATACATACGAAACTATGTCTAAGAACATGCTTTTAGTAAAACCAACATATCTCAACAGTCCCTGTTTGAAACTTTGGAATCTTGAAGTTTACATTTGAGTAGTTTAAGTTCTACGATCAGAAAAGCTCTTTTTTTCCATTTGTCTTTGAAAATTGCTAAGTTGCTTCATTTTTCTTCTTGCCTCATAACTCACCGTAAGTTCGATTTTCTTGGTATAGAAAAATTAAGAAATAAATTACATTATACATAACTAGACAAGTTCCGCAACAAATGGAAACATGGACGGGAACCTCTTCAAAAAAGATTTAAAATAATGAATCAGTAAAAAAACAGATTTCCTTCGCATATTAAATTATGTAGGCTATGTGTGTTGTTCCTAGTGTTCATACTGTATTCTGACAGCAAAGTGGATATTTGGCTCAACATCCGTGAATTAGTTTAGAACCTATTCTTTACAGAGTGTTTCATAATTTTTGAGGCGTGGAAAAATTAATATATGCAGAGAGAGAGTATGACCTCAGCCGAATGTTCTTATATAACCCTTGAGTGCTCGTAACAATATTTCAAACAACATATTATTTGATGATATCTTCTCTTGTAATCATAAAAATATAAACATGAGAAAATGAGGATAAATTTTTCGCAATCGATCAAAATGAAATGTTATTAAAAGTTTCCCGAAACACTCGACGTATTTTATAAACGCATATATTAATCTGATTGTACAATAATCTCATTTAATTATCAAGTGTTTCTTGTCTACGAATTTTGATTAATTCGCCAAATCTCTTTAGAAATCTTATTTATCATTTTTTTCATTCCGTATTCAATCTAATTTTTAGTTGTTTGAAGCTTGAAATCGTTCTCCTCGTACTGTTTTCTTTAATATTTCGCATACACTTCTAGTGAGCCATACGTCAACAGATCTTGCGTTATTTTCTTGAGGTAATACTCGATTACAAAATAATTGATCAAGAGTTTCAAAATACAATCATTGCTCTTTAGTTATCGTTCTGCACATCAGATTGAACATGTAATCAGTGACTCTCTATGAGCGCCGAATAAATGAATAATATAAACAATTATTCGTTTCTACTATGTTATTTTTTATATTGAATATATTCAGTAGTTTATTTAAAATCTTAAAAAAAAAAGTCATCATCACATTTTCATGTTTATATTTTTACTATTACAAAAAAATATACTATCCAATAATATATGACTTGAGAGATTGTTACGAGTACTCAAGGCTTATATAAAAACATTCGACTCAGAGTTATTCTCTGTCTGAATATAAACTGATTGTGTCGCGTTTCAAAACTTGTGAACCATTCAGTATTAACTATGTGGACATTGATCTGTCCTAGAAACACACTCACACTCCATATCCCATTTTGTGTACTCCTCATCTCATAGACTTATGAGAAAAACGTTGGAAATTCAGTTAAAGTTTGCATTTCATGCATATCAACTTCTTATGATTTCGAAACATTATTAAAAGTAAATTTCAATATATGTCTGAATTGGTGTCTTCGTTAAAACGTTTTCTACAGTGTCTGGTAAAAAGTATTCAGTAAGATTTTAATTGTTAGTTACTGGAATTCAAAATAACACACTCTCAATTTTGATTTTATATTCATAGTGAATTGTCTTAAAAGATTGGTTTGAATTCAATGCAAAAAATAGTAGTTGTATTGAAAATGATCAATTTTTCGTAAACGTTGAGAAAAGGACAAGTGACGATAAAGCTGCTTTTCGATTCGAGTATTTTTTTGATGAAAACCACTTGAAGATAACAAGTCGACTATAGAGAACACGTTTTGCGACTCACTTCTGAAAAATCTGACCAATCAGATTTTTGGACCCTGGACACACACACACCCGTCAGGTATTAGCCGGCAACTTTTTGTTTCTCTTTATTTGAAGAGAAACACATCATTCGATGCAGAATTTCGCGCTGATCATGAATATCATGTTCACATGCTGAAAATCTCAATTTTGCTCAAATAAATCGAGTTTTATGGCTATAATGGGATTTCCATTGAAGTTGAGTCTTAACCCCTGCTCGATGATAAAAAGAAGTCTGAAATATTTTAAAATATACTCATATGCATAGAAATTGACTATCCTTCAAAAAACTATAAAATAACGAACTTACAAGCTTAAATTTATATTTATGAGTGCTTTAAACTGGCAGTTTATTAGTCAATTACTGTTTTCTAGCATATTGGCAGCTTTCCTCCTCAACAGCTCTGTCTTTATTCATTGTGATTTATATATCATTAGATGCAGTTTTTCATACTAATTCTGAAAATGACAGAGAAGATTAGCATGGTCCTTGCGCAAGGATGACACCCAAAGTCGTAAAGCGTTCCATATTATTATTATTATTATTTTAACTTCAACTAAGCAACCTAATACGATATTAGAAATAACTTGTCCTAATTAACATGTCAATATAACAATAAACGATTTTCACATCTTTCCAGCCATTATCAATATGAATCATTCAAAAGAAAAACAATAATCGATATTCATAAGTATTTTAATTCGACAAATGAATTAGAAAAAAACTTTAAATCGAAACTTGAACTATCAGCACCAACCATGATCAGTAATGGTCGAAAAATTACATAACTAAAAGAAGAGTCTTGCACGGTAGCTCTACTCTACCTTTTAGAGTAAGTATAAAAGTAGCACACACATGTTTAGGGTAGAATTTGAATGTCGTTCATATTGCTAAACATTTTTAGCAGGAACTTCAAAGTCACTTGTGACATCTTTCTGGCTTAGAAGAAGTTGTTAATTATGTTCTAAGGAAAACGTGTTTTGACAAACGAATAATCAGCATTGGCTTGGTACGACCAATGGTCATTGAACTGTTAACAACTTAATTTATTGGAAAAAAGTTATTGGGCGTTCTAGGAAGTTCAACCAAAAGTGATCATGTTTTCAGTATCACTGCTGAGTGTATTATAATTTAAGAAGAATTCTTTCACGGCAAGACTTTGTTGGAATATACATGCAATATATGCCAAGTGAATGAATCAATAATAAACAACCTTGTTAAACAAAAATGTTTCTGGTAAGGTTCTAGTTTTTATTCATCTAGATAGGACTAGAAATTGGTATTCACTTTATTCTGAACGGTATTATTTTAATTTTTAAAGCTTTGTGATAATCAAATCATAATATTTCATTTGAAAGTTGCAAAGAAAACATTTCTGTACAATAAGATATTTCGATTTCTTTTAGAAAAATAATTTAAATTCATATAAGCAAAAGTTAGCTGTAAAATTTGAAACATGTTTAAGAATTTTGTTATCAATGACTTGTGAACAAATTCATATTATTGTATTGAAAATGAGTACGTTATTCGTCCATTGAGATGATAAAAATTATAAATCATGTTTTTAATTAAATCCAAGTAATGTTCTCTAATCTATTCAATGAACAGGCTATTTTTAGATTTTCATTGTTTTTATTTTAAGGGTGTAATTGTGAGTGTGACTGGGTGTTAGCACCGTTTTTCTCTTAAACGACATACTTCACCACACCTACACCCTGACCGCTAAAAGATGAGGTTTTGTGGGAAGAGTTTTACTTTTTTTCTAAACTCTCGGGCTGTATGATTAGAAAACTAAGGATTATCGACAGGAAAAAATCTTATAGTTGAGATTTCGTTGACATAAGCTATAACAAAAGTGTTTACTTTCTTGGCCAATGAGTTTGAAAAATTCCTGCAGAAATATCATGCAAAATCTGTCGATCCTAAAAGTGCCGGGTCAATATTGAAATATCATTTTTTGTGTTAGGTTGGTTTGAGTAGACTACGAACACATATTGCTCCCCTCACCAGAATCCTTAAATTACTAATCAAATAGAACTAAAGTTTAGGAAAAAGTAAAAATCCTCCTCCTTGATCTTCTCACTTAGCCGCCAGCTTTGACTTTGAAGCCTCCCAAATCTTATAGCTGAATAGTACATTCAAAGATGGTTCTAATGCATATAAAATCGTTAATTAAATCTTCTTTTTGTCGAAAAAATTTAACTTTCAAAAACTAAAAAAAAAGTTGATTTTTGTAGGAAACGTTTTGACACAAAGACAGCGTCAGACAAAAAATTTCCTGCTTAATGAAAGAATTGTCTCATTGAATAATATCAATTCTATTCGTTCCAGCTTTTTATCATTTAAAATGGAGAAATTCCAGAAATCAGGTTTTTCCTAGAAGACCCTACATAGTCCTCCCTCTTTGGACCATTTTGCAGAGGTTTCAAATTTAAAAAAATGTAGCTATACTTACATTCATAATTTCCACATACTCAGAAAGTTTCATTCCATTCTCATGAAGTGGATGCAAAGTCTGGTACGTTTTCGAAAGAACAACCCCACACTAGAATGCCATTAATGCGTGACAATGCACTAATGAATCAATAATAAATAACTACATGCTCTACTTTATCTTATTTTACTTCACCTTACCTTTGCAACAAAACAGAAATTCTTCACTCTAATTTACTTTGCTTTATTTTATCGGATAAAGTAAAAATAAAGTGATAGCCCTAATGACAATCAGAATATACTGATGGATAAACAAAATTCTTAAAAGATTTTTCTTTTGACATCAAAGAATTTGCTTGATAATGATAGATATTATCTTTCGGTTATCAACTATTTTCATTACTAAATCCTCTTGGATATGAAGGATGTGAGGTTACTGATTTCCCTCCAAGTAACCATATGCAGACTCATGCTCACACTCTACTTTTCATAATCATTTAGATCTAGTGTCTTATGACACACTCTCGTATAATTTTGAATCAATCAGTAAACTATTTATCAAGTACATTCAAATAAAAGCTGTTAGCGTAATCCGTTCAGAATTAAAATGTGAAAGACGATGTAATTGCTATTGCCAATCACGAGAAGCTTGTTTTATTCTATTTATTGTAGGATATATTTCTTCGCCATCGTTTTATTTAGTTCTCCAGAAATGCAATAACTGATTAGTTAAGATGTTAGAATGCGACTTTTATTTATATACAGTACTTTATCGTAATACATATACAGGACTTACCATGGTCCGTAGAGAAAGAAGAATAGAGTTCAAATGTGTACTCTATTATTTTAAAACTCTTTTCAGATCGTGTTTCATAAGATTTCATATTTTCTGATTTATTTTGGACAAAATTGGTTTATTCAAATGAGATTAATAAACATATTTATGTTGACTTGAACGTTAATTCAACCCATCTTGTTCTAAAATATGTTAATTGTTTCGATTGATTCGATATAGTTTGATATTTGTATATGTAGAGATTAGTTATGTTTGATTAAATTGATAAAAGTAGAAAAGTCATAGCAACGGTAAAATAAAAGTTTATGATATACTGAAAATGTTCGAATAAATTTTAGCAATCAGCAAGAATTCCAATATAAATGGTATTTTCTGGTACGGATTTAAAATTTAATGGTATTCCTGGATATAATTGTTTTAATATAGAATAAATATATAATGGAATTAATCTTAACCATGCTCTCCATCCATGTTTATTAACATGTATTGTTTGATAAGGAAGAAAAAAAGTTATTTCTGATTCATCGTTTGTAATAGGAATATGATAAAGTTGTTGTGCTAAATGAAGAATATTAAAAAGACTAATATTTGTTTCTGTATAACCAAATATTGATGTTATATGATAAATATTATTTCCAAAAGTTCGAACGATTAAACGTTGATCATCATCAATATTTGGCATTCGTGCATATTCGATTTTAAGAAATATTAATATTTCTGGATAAGCATGCGTTCGATTAAGAAAATTTTCAAATACATCTGGAGTATATTTTTTTGATGTTGTTAAAAAACAGCCAACGCCACGAGCTATTACATTATTCTTTTTATATAAATTATTTTCTTCGACATTTTCTATTAAGACCGAAGCTTGAAGATTTTCTACGACCGATATTGATTCATTTTTTTGCTCATTATTTATTAATTTTGCTCTCTTTTTGTTTCTTTCTTTGTGTTTTTGATCATCATCATCATCATCGTCGTCGTTGTCGTCATTGGTTACACTTATATTTGAGTTTTCGTCATCATTTAATGAACGATCAAAACTTGTAAGTCCAAGTCGATTTGGTAAATCTTCTATTAAATTTGTTTTACAATGTTTAGATAAATAATTACTAAGGCGAATATTTCCATAAAACCAACTAAATGAAAATATAAAAAGACTAAATGCAATAATAATAGCAACCCAACCACCAGAAGCAATTTTTGTTGTACAAATTGCAGCAAATGTATATAGATCAATAATTAAAAAAAATCCAAATAAAGCTACAAGCCACATTGGTTTTAACCAAGTGCAACGTATAACCATCATATAAAGAATTGTTGTTATAACCATAACACTACATACTGTTACTCCATAAGCATCTGTAATACGATCTATTGTTTGAAAACCAATGGTTACAGCAAGTGTAAGAGCTAAAAGAAAATAATTTACAGCTGGAACATAAATGTGACCAATTATTGAACGCGATGTATGAATTACAGTAAATGCAACACAAAAACCCATTGCAATAGCTTGTGAAACTAAAGAAAATGAACCAGTTATAATAGCTTGTGAAGCTATTGTTGATGATATAACTGAATATACAAGAACCGGTATAAGTGCCCAATGTGGTACTGAACGATAAAATCTAAAAATCGAAATTTTCTTAATAATGATTTCTGTTTCATTGCAAAATCGATTTCTTGTTTTTTTTTTTATTTAACTCACGGATTATCAATAAATTTTGGATATAAAATGATAAGTGCACCTTGTCCTAAATAATTAAGTAAAACAGCAGGAAAAACCAAAGCAAACCATGAAAATCTAATAGGCCATCGTCCAAAATACCCCAAATCAGCATACAATGCTTCTAAACCAGTAACTGATAAAAAAACAGTACCAATTTGATAGAAACCTTGTTTTTTAGTTTTAATTAAATAATGCATTGCTTCCCATGGATTTAATGCTTTGAATATAACAGGTTTATATGTAATACGCCATATACCAATAGTTGCTAATAGAATAAACCATAAAATCATAATTGGTCCAAAAAAAATTCCAATACGAGATGAACCCCATCTTTGAATCAAAAATAAAAGTATTATTACAATGACAGATAATCGTACAACCCATGATTCAAGTGATGGTTTGACAATAACTAAACCTTCAAATGCTGATAAAATCGATACAGCTGGTGTTAGAGCACCATCGCCAATCAATAAACAAGCAGCAATAATACATATAATACTAACAAATTGTTTAGTACGATAATGAAGACGACTTGCTGGACCAGTCAATAAACCACATAAAGCAAATGGACCACCTTCACCACGATTATCTGCCATTAATATGAATATAGCATATTTTAATGAAACAACAACAATTAAACTCCATACGATTAATGATATAGCACCAATTACTGCGTCTTCCTCTGGAGGCGAATCAAATAATGTTTTGAGAACATATAAAGGAGATGTACCACTAAAAAACAAAAACGAAAACAAAAATATTTATTTTATTTTATTTTCTATTTGTTACTTAACATATCACCAAATATGACACCCACACTCCGAATAGTCATACTAACAAATAGAGGAAAATTGATAAAAGGTGATACTCGACCAGTTTTAAGTCCTTCATCTGATAAAATAATACGTGGTGCATCAACTGTAGTTATTGTGTTTTCTCGACGTTTAAGTATACCAGNATCAAAACAAAGTGATTCATTTAATTCAAATATTTGAAGGCTGTTTTCCATCCAAATAACTGTTAATCTATTTATTTTCAGTACGAAAGGCAGTGTTTGGTGTTTATTAATCTCAAATGATATTTTTATTTTATTAAGAAATCGTAAAACTAATATGCAGAATTTATTATTTACATAGAAGATGAAATTATATTACTTTAGAAATTTGAATAAATAATCGATATCATTGAATATATATTACATGTTCAAGACGTGAATAATCATTGATAGACGCCCCCTCGGATAAAAATCGTACCTTTTTCTGTTAGCTTGTCTCCTCTATAATTAATTCATTGCTGTATCTTTATTTTCATATATATATATATCAATTTAAAAAAAAATAACAAATCAACATGAGATTTTTTATACATGAAAATTTATTTTTATTTTTTTTATTTTTTTTATCTTAGTTTTGATTTATTTTTTATTCGAAAAGAGATATGAACAAGAAAAAGAGAATAGAAGTAGGAGTTAGGAATAGAAAGAGGGAAGAATTAAATAAATAAATAATTATTAACGGGAGGCCTTTCGAATTTACTCTTTATCAAGCGAGTGAATGTGAAAAATATGATTATGATATAGCACTGCTTATATATTCGATCGAAACAATCTACTCATTAACTTATTTAAGTAGACCTAACTGATTGAATATGACCTTAGTAATTGATCATCTAATCATCAATAGAACGTATGCATATTCTAACGATTATCTTCTTCCAATTTCCAAAAATTAGAATAAACATTTTTTTCAATCGTACTATTCTATCACACACCTATACAGATTGTTTATTCGTAAAAAAAATTATTTCACGCATCAGATATCATTCATAATTGTATCATTATCTAGCCGTGCGGTCTTTTTTTTTGTTCTCTGATCATTGGTTTTGAATGCACTATAATACATTATTATTCAATGTTACGATATTGTCTATTATATTTAATGCATTAAAATGCATTATTAGTGAATGATATGATATTGTTGATTATATTTAATTTTTTATTATACTTTATTATTCAATGATATGACATTGTCGACTGTTTACAAAATGTAATGCATTACAATGCATTAAACAGAAATAGTTTTATTATTCATTTATTATAAGTGTAACTGATTTTCATACCAATTGATTGAGATGTTTTTAAAGTTTATATCCTTTTATTTGTCAAAACTTCACAATGATATCCTGCTCGAAATTCTGGCCGACCTTGAAGAAAGAAAAACAAAAAAGTTACATTAATATTCTCTTTGTCGTGATTTCTTTTTCAAAACTGACGACCTTTGATCGTTTTCTTAAACTAATAATTTTGTTGTCAAATAATTGACTATTTGTATTTGTACACAAAAGAAATAAATTACATTTGGATTAAAAAAAATTCGAATACTCATGTCAGTACGGCACTTAATATAAAACGTTTATTTTCATATCACATTTCTAGCCATTTACGTGTATAAGATAGATATGCCCATCACGCCCAAAACCTACATGTATCTCTCCACGCGACGATGACATGCACAAAACTGTTTCGAATTCTACTATTGTGATTGTATTGAACTACGTAGAGTGGTTGTTACTAACGCATGAGATTCATGCAGTATCGGAGTGTTACGTCAATCAATAAAATGAATAGTAACAATCAAAGCAACAGTTAAGTAATCGATTTTTCTTGATTTTTGAGTCATAATCATGGTACTTTAATGTGAAAGATTTTGACTGGTAAAACAGAACCAGTTACAGACCAAAATAGAGTTGCCTGTTTGTTATCTTCAATTGTTTTGTCTTTAGTTTCACAGCTTTTTCGATCCAACTGGCTATAGAGTTTTATCTGATACTGATAAACGATCAATTGAATAGGATATTAAAAAAATGTATGAAAATGATATAATAAATCTTGCTAATTCATCATCGTCATCATCATCATCATCAATATCGATATTAAACAATTCAGGAATATCTAGCACAACTTCTAAAATAACAACAACAACAACTTTTACAAATTTAACATTATCATCAAAATCTAATACAAAAAAAAAAAACGAACAACTATGGAAACATTTTTAGAATCAATTGGTGACGATATTGTATTAGAAAATAATGGTGGTACACGTGCAACAATAATTGAAGAATTATACACTTATCGATCATTAGCGAACCAATACAAGAGTAAAAATAAACCAAACACATTATCATGTCTTGCCTTTTGGAAAATTTATGAATTTACATTACCTTACCTTTTTAAATTAGCAAAAAGACATATATGTAAACCAGCTACCAGTGTGGCTGCTGAAGCAGCATTCTCAACAGCATCTTATATTGCGCGTCGAGAAAGATCACGACTGTCAGTGAAAAATTTTGAAGCAACAATGTTTTTAAAGGTATATATTAAAATAGAAAATTTTCTTTGTGAGGATATTTATAAAATTTAATGAAAAAATATTTTTGAGGAAATAATATTAGAAAATTTTGCTCCTCATTGTATTGATATTAAGACAAATTTTCTCTTATTCCATTTTGTATTACTATGCGTGAACATCCATTGCAAGTAATGAGGATGCTAAAGACATTGCATGTTAAAGCGTGTCTAGTTGTGAAATAAGGAAATATATCAATCTCCCCTTATATTTCTTAAGTAATTTTTTGTATTAACAGTTGCGAAGTGCAAGAGTATGCTAAAACCATCTCGTTTATAACGCTACACTGTAAAAAAAAGGGCAGAATCATAAACCTTTGCACTAAGTATAAATTTTCATAAACCCTTCAAGGGTTTATGATAGCGTCATAAACCCTTCAAGGGTTTATGAAACCAAGGGTTTATGAAACTAAGGGTATATGAAAATAAAAAGGGTTTATCACCTTGAAATTCAAGGAAATGGGTTTATGATTCTACGCTTAAGGGTATATTATTCTACGCTTTACATGAAAAGGGTTTATGATTCTACGCCTAAGGGTATATTATTCTACTCTTTCAGGAAAAGGGTTTATGATTTTCTGGGTGTGGGTATATCATTCTGCCCTTTCATAAAAAGGGTTTATGATTCTACGGATAAGGGTATATTATTCTACTCTTTTATAAAAAGGGTTTATGGTTCTACGCCTAAGGGTATATTATTCTACCCGTTTATAAAAAGGGTTTATGATTCTACGGATACGGATATTTCGTTCAACTCTTTCGTGAAAAATGTTTATGATTCTATCCTAAAGGGTATATTATTCTACCCTTTCATAAAATAGGTTTATGATTTTATGCATAAGGGTATATTGTTCTACCCTTTCATAAAAAGGGTTTATGATTCAACGGATAAGGGTACACTGTAAAAAAAAAAGAGTACAACCATAAACCTTTGCACTAAGTATAAATTTTCATAAACCCTTGAAGGGTTTATGAAACCAAGGGTTTATGAAACCAAGGGTATGTGAAAACAAAAAGGGTTTTTGAATATCAGAAAGGGGTATATTACAGTTGAGTTTTAGGAGAAGGGTTTATTATTCTCCTCTCAAGGGTATATTGTTGTACGTTTTGAGAAGAAGGGTTTATTATTCTATTCTGAAGGGTATCTTATTGTACGTTTTGAGAAGAAGGGTTTATTATTCTCCTCTCAAGAGTGTCTTATTGTACGTTTTGAGGAGAAGGGTTTATTAATCTCCTCTGAAGGGTATATTGTTGCACGTTTTGAGAAGAAGGGTTTATTATTCTCATCTCAAGGGTATATTGTTGTACGTTTTGAGAAGAAGGGTTTATTATTTTATTCGGAAGTGTATATTGTTCTACGTTTTAAGGAGAAGAGTTTATTCTTCTCCTCCCAAGGGTATATTATTGTACGTTTTGCGCAGAAGGGTTTATTATTCTATAATTTCACTAAACGCCTGTTTTTCTTTCTATTGTCTGGTGCATTTGTATGTTGACAAGAAATTTGTTTAGAATTTCTCATATTATGAGCGTCTTAATGTACACTAAGTTAGTTTTTACTTCGAATATAATCTAATGTATTAACAAGAACGAATAACTGATAATAAATGTAATGAAAAGAAATTTTTTTTTTGTTTTTTTTCTAATGGATATTTCGGACATGACAATTTCCATCATCAGCAATAGCTGTAACAGTTTACCATAATTGTTTAAATTAAATAAATATGAATAAATAAATATTATGAAATTTTTGATTTGAATATAATCTAATGTATTAACAAGAACGAACAATTATGTTAAACTGTTATAGCTATTGCTGATCATGAACATTATCATGCCCCAGAATATCTATTAGAAGAAAAGCAAAAAAAAAATTTTCTTTTCGTTACATTTATTATTAGTTATTCGTTCTTGTTAATACATTCGTTTATAGTTTTTACTTCATTTTAAAAGAATATTTTGATATATGATTATTTTTTTGCTTCGATATTGTTTTGACGTTTACATACGGATAGCTCCATCTATCCAACTTTGTTACTATTCGATAAATAAGCCTATAACATGATTGATTAACCAAATGAAAACTAAGTAAAGCAACAATTTTTCTTGATTGGATTTAGATAGACGTTGCACGTATCTTTTCATAGAAAAAATTATAATCTATGTTAATGTCAGAAATATTCTTCAAACTCTTAATGAACTTCAATTAACGTTTTGTTTTAGAAGAAATTTCTTTGAATAACATATCATGAATTGGACTTGTGATCAAGTGGTTGAATGGTGTAAATCTTTTATTGATGATGATATTATTATATGTCGATTTCAAGGTCAGTTATTTTATTCTTTTTTGCGAAGAAAAATGTTAATAATTATAGCTACATGTAATAGCAGGTTTTCTTGTTTTTATCGAAGTATGTTTTGTTTACCACGATGTGATCCGTTGACTGAAAAGTCTCTCAATATGATACATTACTTCAGTTGAATCTTTTTTTCTTTTTGTTTTCTTTTACTAAGTTAAATAGATATACGAGTGTGTGCAAAAGAAAAGAGAACGAAAATTGTCTTTGTTGTTACTTTCTTTGTTTACGGTATCATTATTGATTTGTATATCAATTTGATTCGCACACAATTTGAAGAACATAGACATTAAGAAAAATTTTTAAGTAGTTTGATATTTGTCGTGAAATCTTGTGAAAAAAAACAACACTTTTTTCTTTACACTGCAATCATCATGGCGTCATTTGTTTGTCCATTATGTTTAAACAATCGTGAAATTACAACTTTCTGGAAATTTTTCCGCCATATCACATTATTTCATCAAAATGAACGTGGATTTCACATCACTTGTGATCTATCATCGTCATGTGGTATGTCATATCGTACATATTCTGCTTATAAAGCGCATATTTATCGTCATCATGCATCTGAATTGCACTTAATGGAGAAAAAGCACGACAATGTCTACATTTTTTCTGAAGATGATGATCAACAGCAAGGTAATAATCCAAATAATAAAACAAGTTTAGTGGTTGATGATGAAGACAATGGTTTAGTGCAAAATGATAATAGACAACATAGTTTATTAAAAGACAATATTGAATTAGATTTCTTGCAAGATGATCAAGAAGAAACAAATGATGATACAACAACATTATTCCAAACATCTTTTAACCAAAAAAAAGACATAATCACCATTGCAGATATTCAAAAGACATATCTTTTATTTATGTTGCAGTTACGGGAAGAATTCTTCTTACCAAAGAGTAAAATCAATTCTATTTCTAGTTACATTGCGACACTTTTACATCATGTTCAATCATTAATTCAACAGAATGTTATTATTGATGATTCTCATTTTGACTCTCAAATATCATCATCAATAGTATATAAGTCACATAAAAGAATTGTTGAATTAGATGAAGTTAACATTATTATGAATCAAGTATGTGATGTTGTTGAAGCTACTACTCGTAATGAATATCAATTTTTGAATTATTGTAAGCAACATTTTGATTACAGTTCACCAGAACAAATAATAGTATCAGCTCCTGGTGAAACATTTGATTGTGGATACTATATTCCTATTGACAAAACATTATTTTCCATGTTAAGTAACCAGCATATTCTTTTTCAAATAATTGATAATATGAAATGTCAACAGGAAGCTGTTAATAATGATGATGATTTGATGTTTTCATTCCGTGAAGGAAACTATGGTGCTCGTGTTGACGATCAAAGTTTACTGATACAATTATATGCCGATGAGATAGGCCTAACAAATCCTATTGGATCCAAAAAAGATCAACACAAATTCTTTATGATATATTTCTCTTTGGAAGATATACCAGATCAATTTCGCTCAAAGTTAGATCATATGAATCTCGTCGCACTTTGCAACAATAAAATTCTTAAGGTGAAATTTCTAATGTTGAATCCGACTTTTAAAGTTTAACTTTGAAACTCAGAAAATAATCCGCTAACGTTGTAAAGAAATTGGTAGTAGCTATTTGTTTACAATGAATTGCTCCTCACTTTCTCTTCTATAGAAATAAATGTAGTATCATCTTTGACTTAGGATTTTCAATCGATACAATTTTTATGTGTATCGTTTGTTCTAACAGATATCATAAAAGGTGTCTGGACCTTTCCCAATCGGTTATACTCTCACTAACAGTACTTTCTCTTTTCTTCAACTGCTTTTTAATTGTAAAATATATGACAATAGGATATAACGCAAGCAGAATCGGATTTTTCTGGTGTTAATAAAAAATTATTGTCCTTAGCACAGTTACTTTCATGAAAAAGAACAAAAATATCTATTATTTCTAGATTTCGGTTGTTAAGAATTGAATTTCATTGTGAATAGTTATTCGAAAGTACACTGAAAAAATCAATACTTCATTGGAAAAGACTGATAATTAGATTTTAGTTGTAGGAGTATAAACGAAAATTTTCATCAGAGCTATTTTGCAATGAAATGGAAACCCTAATGTAGGTATCTGCATGTAAATTCGAAAAATCATGCTTGTTTATAAAAAAAACAAGCAATTCTCAATAATGAAATCCTAGAAATACTACGCAGTTCTGGATATGTTAAATAGAGGCGATCCTGTTCAAAAACTAATGAGTTATTTACTAAGATTGAAAATCCATGGCATAGATCAAGAGTTTTGATATCATGAACTTGTCCATCTCCCTATAATACGAAAACTAATTAGAAATTAACTATAAGAAAAAAGTCGGTGTGGAGAAGGACTTATAGGCTCTAGTTCTTTTGAAAAATTTACCCTCAAAATCTTTTTTTTGGAGGACACCATCAAAGCAAAACGCTTTTTTGAACCAATCATCATGAATCTAAACATGGTGCAATCTCAAGGAATATCAATTAATGGTATTTGTATCAAGTTTTCATTTTCTACCATGGCAGCCGACAATCTGGCAGCTCATATAATCGGAGGTTTCCAATCTACATTCAGCAGTGGATATTATTGTCGCCGTTGTTATACAACATACTCAAACAGAAATTTACCAATATCACTAGCAAAAGCCTCCGGCAGAACCAGTGTGGATCACGACGATTTTGTTCAACAAGTGACAGCAGATCCAAAGAAGTCTCCTTTAATGGGTGTCGTTGGTCCAAGCTTTTTACACAAGTTGATTGGATTTCATCCGGTCATTTCTCTCCCGGGCGATCTAATGCACGACTTCATGGAAGGAGTTTGTCCTATTGTAATAATGGCTTTGTTGAAAGAAGCATCTCGTATGCGTCTCATAACATATGGTGAGATTCAATATATACTCATATAAAGAAATCATGATAGCTTTTCTTAGATGGGCTTTCCTGATATATTATTCAATACTTAAATTGAGTATAATGATTCTCTACTATTTGGGTATTAATATAATTAGAAAGTTATCACTAACAGAAATCAGGATATTTACCAAAACATGCATCAGTGACGGTGAATAAATTTCAATCAGATTCCTTTGAGCTTCATGACTTTTATTCGGTGACATACGATGGAAACTATATAGCAATAGTATCATTGTAACTTTCTGCAAAAATTGTGTTTAAGTTTGAAAGTCTAAAAATTAAATTGGTAGACATGCGAAATAGGATAAATCCAGGAAATATTCAAAGACACATTTTATTTATATAAAAATAATATCTTTCAGATTTTCAATAAGATGGCATAATAGCTAATATGTCAGTTTAGTTTTTTTTACAATTAGTAAGTGAATTAATTGACTGAATTTTGATGTAATGTTATTGTGATCTGCAATTAGAAACTATTTTGTGATATAGATGTGTTATTACTTCCAATCCCATGTCTTTACTTTAATTTATGTTGCTCGCCTATATGTTTTCGCGACTAAAATAGTAACGATGACATATGAAATGCTTTAGACTCGAAGAGTCAATAAGAGAAAGATGAGCATATGAGTGCAACTTAATTGCTAAATTTAATTAAAATTCATTCACACTAATTAGTGATCCTGTTTAGTAGAGAGATTGCAATGAACTAATCTGTCAATGTTATTTATAATTACATTTATTTCTTTACGTCATCGTTGCTTTTTTTCTTTTCTTAATATTTGTAGCACAAATTCGAGAACTTATGAAAAATTTTTCATACGGCTATTTTGATGCAGGTGATCGGCCTCCTCCCATTCAAGTGAAACATCTGCAAACCGGTCGAATTGTTGCTACTGCAACACAAAAATTTTGCCTCTTTCGACTTTTCCCATTTATCTTTTACGATCTTATAGGTCGATTGCCATCTTATATTGTTTATAAGCAATTAAGAGAAATAATGGATCTTGTTATGTCAATGCCTTTCAGAAAAAGATGGCTGCCGGTTCTCAATGACTTATGTGTCGCTTTCCATCAATCCATGCTTACACATTTTCCATCTAAAATAGTACCAAAAGTACATTTTGCTACAGAATATAGTCAAATAATCAATGATTATGGTCCAGCAACAAAGTTATGGTGTATGCGTTATGAGGCTTATCATTGTTATTTTAAAAAAATTGCACTTAGATCGAATAATTTCAAGAATATATCGAAGACGCTGGCCACACGGTATCAACTAAGACAAATATTTAGGTCATCAAAAATGATACAAATGAAAAATTTTGATGAAGCTGTTGGAATACAAAAAGTTCATAATATTCAATTCAATAGTAAAATGAAGCAGGTCTTACTTGATCATTTTGGTGTTATTAATTTTGCTCAAGATTTACTTCAATGCAAAAAATATTCTTATGAAAATGTTGAATACTGTCGATCTGGTGTTTATATAATCGATTTAATTAATACCATCGAAACGCCAAAATTTATGCAAGTTATTAATATTCTAAAGATGAATGATAAATGGTGGTTATTGGTGGACATATTGGAAACTATATGTTACAATGAACAGTTGTGCGCATGGGAAATAAAATCAATAGATTGTTTCACCATGCTAGATCCAAGTCACCTGAAATATTATTATAAAGGACTTGACATTTATGAATTAGATAATTCAAGTTTTATTTCATTTACATCACGTCTCACATTGTATTAACACATCTAAAATAAACATCGAACGTTTCACAACTCTTATCCAATATAGGCTCACTTAATATAGCTGTTACTTATATTTGATGACTTCTATTCCTTCCAAAGTTTTTTATACCATCCTAAACTCTATTTTTGCTCAACTTCACAAATACTGTTCTGTAAGAAAAATTCCTATTGAATCAAAACGCAAAAATTTACATATAGAAAAGTTTCTTTTGTAGTGGTCTTCATGAATTCTTTATGATGAAAATGCCCGATTTTGATGTATTCTCAATAGATGTGAAATACTTCAATGGAAAACTGGATAGGCGCGTTTAAACATGTTTTTAGAATCTTTTTTTCGTTTCCATAGCGGAGATTGTGAATGGAAGATCGTATAAAATGTCTTTTTTAAGAGCCAATATATTATTTTTTAATCTGATAGTGTTTTGTAAAGTGTAGTAATATAATCAACAATTTCTTGATAATATTCATTGTATTTATGTTAAACGAAAAAGCACTGAGCAGCTTCGATTAAGAAAAAAGGAAGCAAATTTACTATTGGTGTGATTTTTGAAACATTACGTATCTAAAAAATTACCAACAGTGTGTTCTTATGTGAATCTATTTCATTTTAGTGTGTTTTTTATATTAAAATGATATGAGAAAAAAGAGAAAGCTGTTTCTATCATGTTATAAATTAATATGTTTGGAGTTTTCTCAGTGCATTGAAAACTTCAAGATTTTCATTACTTTCTTCAATATATATCTTTGTTTTTATATTTTTAGAGAATGAAGTTGATGGCGAAACTCTTGCAATGATGGATAGCATCGAAAAAACAACCACATTATTTCCAAAGTTAAAACAACAACTCTTATTCTTAAAAGAACGAGAAAAACTATTTAAAGGTCTAAATGACAGTACAATTTCAAGTCTTGATTCATCATCAATTAATTCAACACATTATAGTTCAATTTCTTCTGGTTTTGAACCAATAATTAATCTTTCCACAAGTGATTCTATGAATGATCAAGCATTTGAGAAATCAATGATCAAAGAACAATCGAACTCTTTTTTTCCTGATGTATATACAGTTCCAACTTTACCATCATCTTTACTTCAAGATATAGAATCAGGTGCATTACATAAGTTTGGACCACATCATACAAATCGTCAAATACTTATTGATATAATCACACATGACCTAATAAATCGACATAATCTTTTGTAAGTTGTATTTAAGTATAACTTTGTATATTGATATAAAGGAAAAAAATTATTTTGTTCTTCTTGTGCGTTAGCTTTATATATATATATATACATATTATGACAGAGGCCGTTTTCTCAACAAATAGAGTTCCAAATCACAAATATAAGTCCCTATTTTTAGCACGCTTTTTTGAGTGCCTGAATCTTTGAAACCGTTCGAATTGTTTCATTAAAAGAAAGCTTTTGAATTAATTTATTTAAAAATTTTTTGTACACTTCTAAGAAACTTTAAGCAGTTAGGCTGTTAAAAATTATGCTTATTGAAGTATGATATACGAGAAAAATATTTGTATGTACAAATAAATCGAATATTATTTTAATCAATTAGAAAAAATTGAAAACCTTTGCGTACTCTACTTTGTTAAATATGGCAAACTTTTAATTAATTATAATATTTCTTATTAGTTTAATCGTTATGTTCTTACTTTCAAAAGAACAAACAGTATTAGTAATGTTCCTGTGTGTAAGAAAAAAAAATGAATACATAATTTTATATCTTGTTCTTTGAATGTAATTAATTTCTGTATTTGTTTTCGTATTTAGCTATCCAACTCATAAACAATTTGATAATATTGGTACAGCTATTGTTCAAACATTAAAGATACCATTGACAAAAGATAATATAGTAAGTGCATTTATGTCATCCGAATCCAATCAATTATTTGATAGATTGTTGATCGATATAAGTCAATGAATTTTGCTAGGTCATGCACGAAATTTATCCTTTTTGAAATGGTTCTCGTTGAGGAACTATTTCTAGAAATCTCTCAAAATAAGAAATAGTAAACTTTATTTTATACTGAGCCTATATATGATACCTAAACGAGTGTAATAAGAAATACAGAGCATGCGTACAATTTTTTTGTAATAAAAAGATAAAACATACAGTACAGTGCTCTTTCTCGACTATTTTGCAATGTATGATAATCACTAAAAAAATTTTTTTCATGTATTAAGTTTTAAAATATAAAGGATTTCCAGATAACCAAAATCTAATAAACAAAATTCGTTTTCATATGTCAAATGTAATCCTTTCAAATCTGATACTTTGAACTTCGAATATTTGCATTTGATGAAATCATGTCGGCTTACGAATCTTTAGTCTTTTTCTATGTTTTTTTTTGTTTTATTCTCACTTGTATTACTACTGGCATCCTAATATATTTTCGACGAAATATAGGTCAGTCAAGACCCTACGAGAGTTATGCATGCGTTATAAGAATGTTCTTATATTTCTTTGAATAGAAATATTTTAAGCCTCACTGATGCCTTGAAAATGATATTTTAGAGGTCGATATTGTCCTTTTTAACAATTACCAAATACTCAGATTCTGAACTATAAGAATTTGAAATATTTACATCGAAAATCAGTTGCATACATTTAAAATTTATAACATTCAACACACAACAAGTACCTAAATTTTAGGGTAGAAACATGTTTTGTTAAATATATCGTGTGGAAATTGCGAAAATTCGTATTCTATCGATTCATAATAGGCGTGTTAGCTAAGAATCCAATTATGTTTTCCTAAATAGGGTATTTGGAAAGATGCTATTCAAACAAAATTAAAAAGAAAACGTCTTGAACATCGAGATCATGTTGAAGTGAAAAACTATCAGTTAAAATATTCAAGATTTGGTTCAGGTCGTCCAGTCAAAAAGATGATTGGCGAATATGTTGCACGTGATCGACAAAAACAAGTAATTTTTTATTGAGTTTTTACTTATTATTGCTTCACTTATTTTGCAGATTATGGTATTAAATTACGATGATGATACACTAAATGACATCCAATGTAAAGCTAAACAATTACGAGATGATTCCCAAATTGATGTTAATACTCGGTTGCATTTATGGAAAGAAACAGTTCATCTTCGACGAAAAACTATACGTGATCGACCAACATCCGAAACTCTTGAAGAATTTCCTGGTTATAAAGATCCGGTGTTCGTGAGTGCATTGTTTCTACTTTTTTTAATGTACCTTCAATAAGTTTATTTCGCTTTTAGATTTTTGAAGAAGTGAAAATGACTATGGGAGTGGATTTACGTTCAATTGTACGTCGACATATACCTATTTTACTGGAAAAAATAACCACAACGCCTGGTTTTATTACAGGTAAAAATAAAAATAAAAATTCGTCATATAATCACGTCTCTCTTTAGATTCTCCACCTATTCAACTTATTCGTGTGCTTTGTCGAGCATTTGAAGAAACTATTCATCATGTATATTGCAGTACGGTTAGTATTCTTATATATTTTGTGATGAAGTAATATTTGTCTTTGTATTGGAGATGAGCGTACAAAATGTCCGATCGATGTAAAAAATATTCAATAACAGCTAAAAGTACTTGCAAATAAAAGAGGCTCTGACAAAAATTATAAGTTGTCTTTCATTCAATGATATAGCAAAATGTAAAAGAGTTTTCTTGTTCACATTTGTTGAGGAAAATTCCTTAAAAACTGAAGCAAATCGATTCATAAGCTTCTCAGGCTTCTATCACAAGTCTAGTACAACAATTCATACTTCTATTTTGATGAAATAGCTTACTGTTCCATGTAAGTAGAGATAAATACTTTAATATCATTCATTACAGAGTATCTACTTCATTATTTCAGTCTCATCACTCATTGTTATTCTTAAATAGATCACAAAAAAATATTGATAAAAACAGTGTTTCAACTGATGATATTGAAATGAATCACTTAGTCATATGAAAAGACAAAAAAAATCGCGGTTAATGTTTCCTCTAGAAAATCCTAGATGTTAACCGTTGTTGTTTATACACGTTCTCTAATTGTTTATTTCCTATAAAATCGATCGCCATTCATGCTAGATTTCTTCTAGAGATTCGTTCGATTGTTAAATAATGGTTTTACCATCAAGTATACCCAAAGGTTGCACAGATCCAGCTGCTAAGCACTATATATTGTGGATATATTACACACAGATGTTTTTCATAACTTGCATCATATTAAATCTAAAACTACATCTTTTATAGGCGCCATTGACACCATATCCAACATTGGTCTTCATCAATGATGTTATTCACGTTTATGTTGATTTTCTACCTATTGTTGCAACAACATCAACTGATGATGCTTTAGCACTATTATTGGCGATGTACGCTATATTTGAATTAAATTTTCATAAATACAGTCGTTCTATACGTTTATTATATGCAATCTTTTTTTCTGACAAACGATTTCTATCCAATACACTTCGTCAATTTGTACAGGATAAACAAATCGATATTTATTCTGAATTAAATCAAAAACAATCCATTAACAAAAACCCGATTGTCAACAAAACCACACAAAGTAACTATAATTCTTCATATTTCTCAAACGTAAAACTTTTTCAATCAGGTTTATCTATCATTGAACAAGAAAATTCTATAAATGAAAATATTCCCAACGTAGACGTTGACACCTCTTCAAATAAGTAAGCACAATTTTTCTAAAATCTAGTGAACGAACTTTGTATCATTCTTTCATACAAATATAGTGATAATATTGATGATCTATGTTCTACATCATTTGATTCTCCAACACAATCGATGACTCAACAAAAACAACAACAATCATTACGTAATACAACAACACAAAAAAGTTCCATTACACACATTCACAAAGATGATGAAAATGAAAATGATACTTCAATACTTTCTCACACGATGTTACATCGTGTGCCAAAAGAAACACGAAAAAGAAGACGTCGATTTTAATTCATATTTTAGTTTCAAACATAACTATTATTGTTTTACATAGATTTCTTCCTTATGTTTTTTCTCTTGTAAATAACCCTTTAGTGATTCAACGAGTTTGCAAACAAACTATGTATTTTTCTATATATTTGAAATATTTATAAAGATGAAAAAATAAAACTTGGCGAAACATTGAACTTCTTCCTTCATTCGAACACGCAACTATCGCATCCTTAAGAAAGAAAACTAATTCAATTTCGTGTAAACCTTCTCCCAAAATAGATTATTCAAACATATCACTCCCAAAATTATTTAACTCTGTTATCATTACACAAAATTTTCGGCTGCACCAATAAACCAATCATCTCATCAACACTTCTTTCTCCATTTAGACCCCACTAACTTTCATCAGATTTGTTTCAACGTCTATATTCATCGTAAGTAAGTATATATACAGAGTAAAAACTTTTCTTTATTTTAGATTGAATTCAACATTTTATATTCACCACATCCAAGTACATACTGAAAATAAATATTTTTTTTAATTTTAAGATGTGTTGAAAGTTTGAGTGCATCACATGTAAGTATATAACCAAAACGAATATTTTTTGTTTTTTTAGATTGTGTTCAACGTTTACATTTAGCACAAGTAAGTATATAACCAAAATGAATATTTTTTATTTATTTTAGATTGTGTTCAACATTTAAATTCACCACATGTAACTATATAAAGAAAATAATTTTTTTTTTTATTTAGGATGTGCTCAACGTTTCAGTGCATTATATGTAAGCATATAAACAAAATGAATAATTTTCTTTTGTTTTAGATTGTGTTCAACGTTTGGCTGCATCGCATCTAAGTATATGATAACAAATAAATCTATCCTTTTTCTATTTTAGATTGTGTTCAACATTTAAATTCACCACATGTAACTATATAAAGAAAATAATTTTTTTTTTTATTTAGGATGTGCTCAACGTTTCAGTGCATTATATGTAAGCATATAAACAAA